TTCTGGACAAATTTATTATAGTTCTTCTGGAAAGTTTTCATATGTCTTCTGAACTTTTTTGTTTCATATATTTTATTTTGTATAGTTCTTCAGGAACTTTCAATAAATATCTTCAGGATATATAATTATAAACTAATGATCTGAGGAGGCAGAGCCTACCATATGATCATGATCCGTTTCAGGAGGCATAGTCTTCCATAGGATCAAGGAGGAGGTATAACCTTTCATTCCTTAAATATTATAAATAAACAAATTTTAAATAAATTTACACATAATTTAAAATATTACCTTAAATATGTGATCGGGTAGAGATTCGGATGTTTTCAGAAACGAGAGCTTATTCGTGCTAATAACGTGTTATAAAAAAGTATTTAATTTTATGGTGGATATAACTTTTGAGAATAAAGAAAAACTTATACACGCGGAAGAATCAAGCACTGAATAATATAGAGGAGAGAGAGAATTCTCTTATTGATATGAGATTTTCTTATCTTTTCAAATGATCGATTTCAATCGTTTATATAGGCGTAAGAAAAGTAAGTTACTGTGTATGCATAGTGACAGTGGACTCCACACAAAATATAAACGTCAAACATTGTATACGCCTAACATGCGTCTAACATTTGATTTTCTTAACATTTACCTATTTTTTTCCAAGATGCACTTTCTCTTCTTCTTTCCAATCTGGACATCCTCTTGCCACTTCTCCTTTCCATTGGAATATCTCTAATAGCTCTCCCACTTCACCCACCTGCAACATTTTCCATACTCCTTAAGCTCTCTTCATTTTTTTCAATTCACTTACTAAATCTTTTCTAATGCAACAAAACACACAAGAAACATATAGTTTTGACCTTTAATTCTGACTATGTTGACTAGATTGTAGGGCATAGAAGGTGCATATGGCCGAATCAAAGTTGAACACTTTATACAAGAAAAGGGACAATCACATGTTTTTGTCGTTGTTAACGTCTTCAGATCTATGAGTCTTCCACTTCCAAGTTACAATCAAAGTCCAAATTATACATCCAAAACAAAGCAAGTCACAATATTTATCTGTTTTAGTTACAAAAAAAAATTGAAACTTTTCATGGAAACAAAACATCATATTAGAGAAAAAAAGATCAGGAGAATAACAGAGAAAACCAAATCAAATATCAGATTTGATAGAGAAGAAAGCCAACTTTTTTGTTTATCAGACAATAAAAAAAAAACAAGACCCATTTCAGTTTCATAAGACATAAGAAATTGATCGTTCCAAGAAAATTAGTAAAATAATCTGCCGAGATATTCGTATAAACCCAAGCTTCACTAATCGCTCTAGCCAACTCACAACATACTGTATCAGATTAGCTACGTTCAGTTTTAGGCTAGATACAAGTACACTATAAAATTGAAATCTAAGAGGCGGTACTACGATTTCGAATAACAAAAATTGATTTTTTCGGTTAATCAGAATTTCAAATAACAAAATTGAAATCAAAGAAGCGGTACAAAATAATCAGAATAACAAAAAACTTGATTTTTTCCGGCAAGATAACAAGAAATTTGAGCTTACAATCAGATTGAACACACCCAGGATAGAATATCTCATACCGGTTTTAGTTCCAAAATCATCTGATGGGATCTGGACTCTGAGCTTCGACCCGAAAAGGACCATCTTGTACGTTGACAGGTTTCTCGAGTGGTCTCTGTTACTGTCTCCGTATATGACGAGATCGGCGAGGCCAAAGACGTCTGGTGTGTGAAAACGTTGGGGATTAGAGATACTGGGCTCGAAATAGGAAACGGGTTTAGGGTATTTGGAGGAGAAGATTGATGGGTTAGCTTCTAGGATCGACGTAGGGCTGACGAGGGAGAAATCAGAGTCAAAATAAGTCATCATCTTGAAGTGAAAACCCTAAACTTTGGAGAGCTAAAGAGAGAACATCCATCGATTTCATGTTGGAGAAAACGAAACTGGGAGAAAACTAAAATAAGTTTGTTTTAATTTTTAGATTTTTAATAAACATGTTTCAATGGCAAATTTGTAAATATCAAAGCTTTTTTTTAGGGTTATAGAGTCTCGTAAACAGTTGCTACAATGATAAGTGGGGAAAAATTCTATTGTAAATAGTGAACGTACTACTTATCTAATTAAGTTCAAAAAAATGACTATATTGCAACTTATCTCTATTTATTATATATTAGGATATGATCTGCGGTACACCGCGGGTTAAAATATTTAATTAATTTTATAATTTTATTTTAAGTTGATGAATTTGTTGTATTTATTTTGTATGTTTTTTTGGATCCTTTATATATGTAAATTTTTCAAAAATCTAGGATTTAACTATATTAGATTTTGGTATTTTGATATTTAGTATTAAAGTTATATGAGTTAAACTTTTGATATTTCTAGATTTAACGTGTACAACATATGTAATTGAATAACTTAGTATTGCAATTACACATTTGGACTGAGATTAAAACTTATAAAAACTTAATTCATATGTATAAATGTTGGATTTTTACAATAAATTTTACCTAGTATTAAAGTTATATGATTACACTTTTTGGGTTTTAAGATTTAACCCGTAAAACAAATGTAATTTAGTAACTCAATTTAGATATTGACCCGTGGGACATTAGTGAAATCAGAATTTAGATATAAAATTCACATTTGCAGAATTTAGTAAATTGACCCGTATAAAATAAAATCATAATTTAGACCAGTGGGACATTACATATTTATAAAATATCAGAATTTAGATAAAATTAGTGAAAACCAAAACATACATAGAAACAAAATCAGAAAAGAGAAAACATTAAACATCTATATATACATTTTTGAAGTAAAAATATGAAATAATTCCTAGAGTTGCCACTTATTTACAAGAGAATGTCATTGTCATAAATGTTTATCTATTAATTAATATTACAAATTATTTTCGAAAATATTTTAAAAACCATGGCTTCCAAAGATGGTAACAAATTTATTTTGTTTCTAAATTAGATTAATTGCTAATTTCCTAAAACTTCTCTACCTAATTTAAACATTAATATATGATTCTTTTTTCACTTTTATATGATTTTATATTTAATTTTGTTTTGAATTTATATAAAATACATATAATTGATAAAATAATATTTTTTTCTACATATGATGTGATTCAAATTTTTAAAAACGGACGTATATTACTGAATCGATAAAAAAAAACAAAATGCTGTTTAATTTCATGGGGCGGGGTTATATGGCGGTACGGGTTTGAGTCGATATTAATACGGGAAGGTATACTACGGGTGAAATCTTAAAATTAAAAATAAAAATATAATTATATAATCTTAAACACTAAACAAACCAAACAATATTAACAAAACAAATATAACACAAAATTTAAAGTTTTTAGTTTAAAAAAATCGATCCGCAATATACCGGAGTAAATTTTTTAGATACAAATTAATATCAAATTATTATAATAGTCCATGATTAGAAATGCTTGCCAATATTAACACTACACTTCTACACCTACAAATCTTCTAAGTACATCAATACAACTTAACACATTTAGGTAACAAATATAACAACTCAAAAACAATATTTACATATATCAACTATATTAATTATAATATAAAATAAACAAATGAGAAATGATTTTTTAAAATTGTGAATTTCAAAATCCAATAAACTATAAATTATTATATAAAATACATAAAATACAATTTTGTCCCGCGTTGTACCGCGGGTTAAATCCTAGTGAATTACAAAATATATATAAAAATATGGTGTGATTTAGTAACAAAAATTAATCACAGAAAAACCTGTTATTGATAAAACTTAATTGATTTAAAAATGATAACATTAGAATAATGAAAATTAAGAACAAGAATCTCATTTTATGTACAAAAAGAAATCATTTTCTTACCCTAAAGAAAGAAGAGGAAAAGGAATGAAATTGTTAGCCTAAAAAAAACATTTATAAACATTAAGAATGTGGAGAAGAAACATGAAAACGTTTTCAAAATAAACTGGACATTTGAAACAAAAATCAAAGATCAAATGATAAGAAGTAGTACAAACTAATCTTTAGTGTAAGGTGGATCATACAAAATATTAGGTAACAATTAATTGTTTAAAAGAACAGTAACACGAAAATGATCATTTTTATTTTGCTTTGCAATAAAAAAAATCAAAGTGTTTGTTTAGGGTGATGAATGAGAAACTTGATCAGTTTATATAGGGTATAAGTTTAGAGTATTGTCCTTAGGTTAAAGCTAGCTTTTTTTTTTTTTTTTTTGAACTAAGGTTAAAGCTAGCTTACAATATAAAATTTAATATTTCCTAAAATTTTGGGAAGATATATATATTTGCAAAGATTTTATTGAATTTTTTTTTATAAATATAATTATTCTATAGAATATTCTCTGTAAATATGGGTTCTCCGTATCTTCACAATAATTAATTCTTTATTTTTTAAAATCTTACCCAAGATCTGATTGCAATAATTTCGTTGCATGGATACAAAATTGACCCGATCCAATTAGATTAACAAATATGTACTTTATAACAATTATAGAAAATAAGGTTTTTCTTTCAACTTAATTGTGTTATGTAGCATTAATACGTCACAAAATATTTCCTTATCTCTAAAAATCATACCAATAACCGATTATTCGATTTAGTGGTGTTATATTAACATTAAATCTTCATAACTAATTTCCTTATCTATAAAAAAATCTTACCAACGGGTTATTAGAATTTAATTTTAAAGCAATGATCAATAATGTCGTAATTTTATTAGTAGAGAATCTTTCCAAAAAAAAACTACAAAATTTCTAAAATATAGGAAAGATCCGAATCAAAGATTTCCGGGTCATAATCAATTAAAACCCGACCCGATTACCTTGAGCAAATATGTAATTCAAAAATATTAAATAGATTGTACATATACTTTTTTTTTTCATCGATTGAGTAATATATATCCGTTTTTTAAAATTTGAATCATAGCATATGCAGAAAAAAAAATCTAAAATTTTATTAACTATATATATTTTATAATAATTCAAACTAATATAAATATTAGACCAAATAAAAGTGAAATGAGAATCATATATTTATGTTTAAATTAAGTAGAGAGTTTTTAGGAAATTAGCTCAAATTTGTTATATTAGCATTAAATCATCATATTTGATTTCTTTATCTATAAAAATCTTAAAAAATATTCCATAAATAAAGAGTTTAGATATATTAATTAGTTGAGATTATATATATTTTTTTATATTTTAATTAATAATTTCGTTTTTGAATTTTGCCAAATTTAAGAAAAGATCCGATTGAAGATTTCCAGGTCAAAATTATAAAAAATCCGACCCGATTGGATCCTTAAAATGTACTTTAAAAATATATAGTAGACTAGGATTCAACCCGAGGTTCACCGCGGGCCTCGGTTTTATGCGGTTTTATTATAAGGGATTTGATTATGTTTTATATACATAATTTATAAAATGTGTTTTTTATTTTATTTTAATCCTTTATAAATAATGATTGGGATTTTATATTGGTTGGTTGTTATTTAGTGATTAGAAGAATGTGTTTTAATGTGTTTAAATATGTGTATTAATTAGTAAATGTGTATGTAATTTTAATATAGGTAAAGTAGTTATTAAAATGTGAAATAGTAAAAGTGGTGCAATTGTTTTTGTCATTATAAGTGTTCTTTTACTATATGGAATTCTAGACATTTTTTTTTTTTGCATAACAAAGAGTATAACATTTATCCAACCCGCGGTACACCGCGGGTATCGGTTTTGATTAAGTTTTCATATTATATATTGAATAATGTGTAATTTATAATTTAAAATATTGTTTATATGTTTTTGTGGTTGTTAAATTTTTAGTATGAGATAACATTTTTATGTGGTTAAACATGTGTATTATTTGTGTTTTTTGTACCAAAATAATGTATTAAAGTAAAAGTTGTATTTTTTTGGTATTGTAATTATTGTAATAGTGTGTTAAATTCAAAAAACAATTATCATAACCAATAGTGTTATTTACTGTAAGAACATAACAATTTAATTAAGAAAATATATTGTAAGTAGCTTTGCTTGTTTAAGATTTTTTTTGTAAATTATAAAATAATAAGATTACATTATAAAGAGAGACAAAGTAAACAAAATAAAAAATAATTTGCGTTTAGTTAGTAACATAAGTCTTAAATCGGTTTAGTCGGTTTAGTCACTTGGTTAAATTACATATGTCTTTATCTCTGTTGGTAGTTGGTACGGACGCAATCGTACATGTAAGGCATTTGCCAAATTCAGGAAACCTAATCAACCAAAATCGATTTCATCGTCTTCTCTATCTCTTTCTCTCTTCATCGTCATTCATCATCATCATGATCATCATTCATCATCATCATGATCATCATCATGATCATCATGATCATCATCATCATCATCAAATCTCAGGATCTTCAAGGTGGTTCTTCTCGTTCGTAGCTACCTTCTAGACTGTGATTTCCAATCTTTGAACTCTCGGTGAGTTTCTAGGTTGGGTTTTATCTCCCTTTCGGAAATCCTGTCACACCTCCGCTGAATTAGATCAATTTCATTAGCTTATCAGTTTTAATCAATTTGGGTAACAACAGAGGATTGTCAACCTAGCAAATCCCTAATCAAGAGTTTCTTCAAATTCAGTGTGTCAATATAATCGAGCAATTAGTGAAGTAGGCGAGATTGTTGGTGAATCCTATTTTCACGTTTTACTACATGACATATATCTTCACCTTCGATCAATTCATGTCGTTCGGAATGTTAACTATTGTGGTTAGTGATAGCATCTTCCTATCTCAGTTCTTCGATTTGTGGTTTTTTACATATAGACCAAAGTCACGGTCTTTTTTTGTTCTTTTCACAATTTTTTTTTATCAGAATTTCCAGATATTTAACCAAAGAAACAACAGATAAATGTTCTGTTTCTTGAAGGTGAGTTCTTCACAAAACTGGATGGTTCGATATGAAGCAGATAGTACGCTCTTTATATTCATACATCAAATGCCTTTTGGACCAAGAACAATAAGGTTACTTGTCGACGAAGCTATATTTTAATACAACTTTTCTCATGTTATAATTCGTCTAATAAACATCTTGGCAAACATGCATCCTTGTATGTCTCGTAGACAACACCTTTGTAAGTCCTTAAATCTTCATCGCATGTTGGACCTTTTAGAAAACAAAAGAGAAGTTTCAAATGTGAATCTCTTTCCATCTTATTTGAAGCAAATGTTGTCCTCTACTCTTGATTGTTCTTTGCCTTCTTTGAGAATATTTTTCCTCTTTGATTCCATGTAAAATCTGTTTTCTTTTAGATATAAAGGTTAGTAATAAGTTATAGTAGCTTTAATATGAAATTCAATTAATACATATTCTTGAGTTAGTTAAATAACATGAAATAGTCCAATAAACAGAAAATAGATTTAATTTTTTTGATGACGTTTGATTTAATATAATCATTGGTTTAGGATCGGAATAACTTTACCTCAATCATCTCAAAGACCCCTTTGATGGTTTCTTTTGTTCCCTGCCAAATTACAAAAATAAATATTTTCATTTTAAAATGATACAAATCAATGTTATACAAACAATTGCTTTTGAAGGATTTATTTAAAAAGCTTACATGTCGAAGGTTTCACCAAATTTTGTGGTGTATGTCTTCCAGGTACGAAAAACTGTCACTTGGATTGGTCGTAAATGTTTTCCATGTATGCAAGACACTGACTTGCACTTACCAACCCGTTTTGTACGGCTTCACATCATCAATGAAAGCAAAAGATGAAACATTGTCAAAAGGAGAAGAAAGAGACGTTTGCTGTGAATAGAGGTAATTGCTGGATGAAAATGGTATGTGAGAATGACGTTAATATATAGTGTAGAAGGAGGGTAGGGTTTTTGGCTCCAGTATCTTCGAAAATCTTGGAGAGAAAGTTAAAATATCTTGAATATTAACGAAAATATATTTTTTAGAATGTATCGAAATGAATGATACACAGATTTAAGGGAAATAAGGATATTGAGTAGTAGGTTATAGTTAGGATTTAAGAAAAGAGAAGATTTTAGAAATATTTGATTATCAATTAGGCGAGATTCATAGATATCTTCTTATAATTAGTGCGAATATGCTTTTATAAGATACCATAAACGATGAATGGTTAGGATTGCATGTTATATTTTTGTAGATGATCAAACCCGATTACTTATCCGTTTTAGTATTTGAACCACTAATCACCCGTTTAGGAAACGCGGATCTCCGAAGGTTTAATGAAAATTTTTGACCAAATTACCCTTGGCGATTTTGATTAACAAAGAACAAAATTCAAAATTGAAATTGAAATTGAGACCAAATTTGACCATTTTTCAATTTGTACTTCCCTTTTAATAATAAGGGGATTTGGCGTCGAATTAATGTAATATCGTCTAAAGTTATCGACATGTACAGTAGTTTATTTAAAATAGATCACAAGTTGTCTTCGAAATTTGAATTCGTCTTTTAATTCTATCGCCATCCTGCAGTCAAAACCGAGTTTTTTTCTTAGTTTTTTTCTTTTTCTTTTTTCTTTTAACTAGTAACGTATGTAAGTTGGTTAACAGATACATCAAATAAGAATTAGTTAAGAAGCCGATCTACATGCATAAACAAAACTAATTTATTTCTTGTCAACGATAAATTATTTGGTCACAAACAGTGGCGGAGGCAATGAAGAATCATGGGGTCATGTGACACCCATGAAATTATGATTTTCAGTTTAACTTTTGTTAAAATAATTATTAGACATATGTCCAAGTAGTTATTGACACCCCTAACAAATTTTATTGACCCCTCTCAAATCGTACTTTAAAGATTAATATTTAACATTCTAAAGTTTGTAATATGATAATATTTATCACAAAACGAGTTTAAAATATAAATTTGCTACTAATTTTCTTTACTGTTTGGCATATTAACATTATCGTTGGGCATTTTTGACAAACTGTCGAACTTTAACAAAATTTTACTTGATTTTGTTGCTTAATTACTTAATTAAAAATAATATTTTTTGGAATAAGTTGATTAAAAAAAATCAATCCCTAAATGTCGATGATAAAATTCTTCAAAAAAATGTCATTAAGATAAATATTTGTAGCCAAAAAAATTAAAGATGTCATTACAAATATTCACAAAGATCTTTACCAAAAAAAAAATATTCATTTTAAAGATGAATCATACGCTCACTTATAATTTTTTGGAAAATGTTTTAAAAATGAATATTTGCAATGATATTTTTTCTAATAAAATTAATATTCACAAAATAAAAAAATATTATGACCCCCATAACTCATTTTTGTGGCTCCCCCACTGGTCACAAAACCGAGTTTTACTGCCAAGGTGTATGTTTGATTGGTTTGCAGTTAGTCGTCCCCCAAAGTCCTTCCTCAATTATAATCCAAGTCAACGAAACTTCCCTAGTTCACAAAGTCTTTCCATAGGCTACTTTAATAAATCTCAAGTGTCAGATTAAAAATTGCAACTGCCCGTACCATATTAAAACAAGATCATTGGACTTGTTCATACCTTCATTTATCATTGAATACTGACCTCTCGAACGCGGTGAGACCATAATCAAGTCATGTGGTATGTCATTGCATTAACCACTTCGATGTCATGGGTTGTGGAAAGTTAATATTCTTATAATTGTTTATTTTTTTAATCGATTATGACTTGAGTAGTATACAGATTAAAAAGAAAATTATAAAGAACAATATTATTAATAATAAAAATATATTATCTAAATAGAGGGACACTACAGTGACATTTTCACTATGCATCTTAACACATTTTAAACAAATCCGTCATTCAATTCATCATGTGAGAGGTCATTCCAATGATCATAACTCTCGTAAGGCATATTCATTATGAGACGGTTTTAGGTGAAAGTACTATTATTTCCTAAGAGCATGATTATTGGTAGTTTCTTAGTTTTGATCTTATGATTTGTTTTAATATTATTTTTGAAAAATTTATAGTTAAGAGGTTGTGTAATGGTTTTAAGTTTTTTGTGTGTCCAATGGTAGACTCTTAAGTTATGGTTCTTTAAAAAAAAAATTAGTTTAAAAAAAAAATCAATTTTAGTTTTAGAATTGCAATTGAGTCATTAGTCATATTCATCAATTCCACACTTTGCAATTAAGGAGTCATCGGTTAAAGCTACGTGTGTTTTGTACAAAAGACCAAAACGATGCCATGGAAACAGAGAATCAATACAAGTTAGCAAATTATAAGTTGTTAAAAGTGTGATTGCAGGAAAACAAACAGAATAAGGAACAAGGTTTCTAGATTAATGAATTGTAACTGTTATGAACACGGAATAAAGCTAAGTAATATACTTGACTTAAACAGTAAACCAATCTGAACCAAAGCAAAAACCATATCAACCCGAATAAAGCAGTTTCTACATTTCATAAACCAAAAAATCCAAACTGAACACCGGATTGGGCACTTCTAACTCTTACAATAGCATCTTCAAGAGTGTAGAATGGGAAAGCCAACTCCATTGCGCCGGGAACAACATCAAGTTTAGATTCAGCGCCGAGGGCAAGAACCAACCTGGCTGTAGAAAAGAAAGAACAACCTGATCAATATAAGAACATTCAAATGTATTCAGAACACAAGTATTTTGCAAACAGATTGAATCTAACTAGCAGAAACATCACCTGAGGTTTTTTGTCGTCAGGCCACACAAGCGATTCTAATCTCAAAGCGCAGATGAGTCTATTTTCTTCACAGCAAGTACCTATTAGATCAAAACAATATCTCAGCAGCAGAATATTATGACCAAAGTTGTCTCTTCCTCCCTTTATAAAACGTATGACTACTGTTACAATGAGTAACCGATAAAGATATTTGTTGCATCCTCGGAAAATGTAGTTAAAGAAAGAATCTGTTACAGTCAAACCTTGAATCTATGAGATCCTAACTCCAAAGCAACACGGGTTTAATGCATCAAATCACAAATCCGTACACAACCACAAACAAACTCATGAACCAAAACCGCATATGATCCCATCTAAATAGACTCTATAAATAAAACATAAACCTCATTCATCAACAAAGCCATGAACGTTGATAGACATTCACAAATTACAATGCAGTTCAACGTCATTCTTAAGATTAGTATTGTGATCAATTACCCAAAAACTAAGCACTGAGAAACAAAATCCAAAAAAGCTGAGTTATGCATTATCACATATATGGTTCAATGTCAATGTTTCACCTCCTAAAGTGTAATGGATCAGACAAGAAAGTTTCATCAAAACAATGAGAAGATCAAAGAGAACATTACAAAGATCTCTTACTCTATGGATCTAAGAACATAAAAGTCAAATGATCACAACAAGATAACGCCCACAACGAAATTGAATCAAATTCGAACCAAATGCAAACGAATTTTTTTAGCCCATGAAGCAGATTCATTGGATTGAAACGTTTTTCATCTTCTTCACCCCACATATAATTTTCTTCCGGACAAAGATAGAGCTTAGTTTCTGATGCAGAAAAACTGTATCTCACTCAAATTCAATCGAACAAGTAACACAAATTGAATCAACGTTCATGAAACGCGGATCCAAATCTCATCTGCTGAGTTCACAAGAAACTCTAGCCAACAATGAGTCCACCATTGTAACAACACAAGAAGAAAAAGGTAACAAACAAACAATTCTCAGATTTTGCATAATGAAGAAGAAGAGAGACGATGACTGTTTTAAAGGCCTTTAGCCAACTTGCTCCAATCTTTTCTTTCCACGTGTACTGCAGCTCACTACTCCTCACGTGCCACACGTGCCAGTCTTCTTACATCATTTCTTCATTTCTCCATACTCTAATTCCTATATCAGTTTCAACAAGGGATTCGAGATTAACACTTATATACACTTTAGGAACATAATCAAAGTAATATAAGTAAGCAAGACTCGGAGTATCAAAACTAATGCTATTAAAATCAGAATCATCAAAAGAATCCCACTCTTTACGCATTATAGTAAGTCTCTTAAGGCTAGAACTAGATACAGTGCGGGACCTAATAATCTTAGAAAGAATTCAACAATTTTGCTTACTTTCACTTCTAAGAATCAAGTAAAAGCAAAACTCAGAAAATTGGGGAAGAATTTAACCTAATAGTATCTGCTTCCTCTGAGATCTTCTTCTCTCTGTTCGATTCGACGAAAGCAGAACACGATTTGAGATACTTTCTGAGACTTGAATCAGCTAAATTATGTTGATTTGTTGATTTTTGTCGATGGAGAGACGAGAAAAAGAGAGAGAGAGAGTCGAGAAAGAGAGAACACGGGACAAAAGTTTTCTCTTTAGCCTCAAAACATGCCACGTCATCGCCTCTTAACATCACAAATACCTCTTAGTTAAGGAACGTCTGTTAAGATATAACACTATTTTACATTTAAACTATAAGCCCCTACGGATCTCTAATTTTAATCACAATATATAAAATCTAAGAACTGACTAAGAGACCATCGTTAAAGATGCTCTAATAGGCTAAAACTGTGAATAAAACAAGATTTTGGTAATTAGCCATTGCAAACCTTTATAAAACAAAGCGAAAATTGTGCATTTTGCAAAGACACTACCGTAGGTTTTGTGTCCATCCTCGGCTGCTAGCTAAATTTCTGAACCAAAAAGGGACAAAGGGAAAGGGGTAAGCAATTTATATTGCTTAGTGAATGTGGATCATCCCAGCACTCAGTATAAGCCAAATAGATTTATATCTGTTTAATGGGTGATATACAATACGATAATTTAGAGCACTCAAGTTTTTGTCTTTTCCCCTAACTTCACAAATTAAAATTTCAAACCTAAACCACACAAAATTTTATAAGTGAAGCCAACATTAGGATACGTTATTTAATACACTTTTTGTTAAAAATTAATGTGTCCATATGTATATATCACCAGTATGAAAGTAAAAAATAATGTGTTCATGTAAAATTTTACTTATAAGATTGGGAGCATCATCAAGCCGTTTAACAAAAAAAAAAAAGAGATTGGGAGCATCATTAGTCTCTCGTAGAACCATATATAACGTGAAGATTTTAAGAAATTATAAACTTTTAATAAGAATTTCAAACAACAAAATACCAAAAGAACAAAAAAGTACAATTAATTTGTTAACAAAACAGAGCAGTGTTGCATTTTATAAATACAATTAAGACAACTAGAAAGGTCCTATGCCTTTGCTTGTGCGCATTAGTTCGTGGGACGAATTGTAACCCCTTTGACGAAGAGTCCTTTTTTCTTATATTCGGTCTCATACATGGTGAAAGTAATAATTGCGGGAGTGTTTTTCGGCGGAACCACAAAAACTCCGGCCAAAATATCCACCCATTTGCGGCCTATGTAATCGTTCAAGTTCTCTATTCGTTCCACCCGATCGTTGTCTCCATTGTGGTGTATCACCTTCAGCTTCAGAGTCACTGGTTTCTCCCATCCAATTGCATTATCTTTTAATTTCACTACAAACACAACCTCATACTTTGTTCCTGGTGTTAGATCCCCCGTTTTGAATGTTCCGACTATTTTAAGCCAGTAAACTTTTTTCATCGTCACAATATCAATGGCCTCGGAGCTGAAAATATAGGGACTGACTTGTTTGTTAGCTGAATAGCGGAAAAACAAAATAATTGTTAGCAGAACGAACGAAACTAGATAAAAAAAATTTGTAAAGTAATTATAAAATGGTGGAAAGTTACTTTTAGAAGACCAACCACCTTTGTTATATTTTTAACACATTTAATTATATATAGCGGAATCACTTTGTGAAAAAGAAAAGGTTGATGAATATTGTGAATTAAAAAAGTTAGTGGAATCACGTTTTGAAAACTTAAAAACATGAACATGTGGTATAATTCATCACTATAACGAACATATATGAGAAATAGAAAATACCAAATCAAAATTAACATTTTTGACAAAAAAAAAAAAAAAAAAAACGTTATTAGTATTGCCAATTTGTAGTTAGATGACCAAAATATCTTGATATTGTTGCAATTATTAAACTCGAATAAATATAAACGAACCCAAAACATATTTTTGTAAATTATGTATACATAATATAATCAATATAAATCTTGATTTCTAGCTTTTCACAAACTGATTTTTTTTCATATATGAAAATATGACATTTGAGTGATTAATTTTTTATTTTTGGTGTAAAATAATAACTTTTGACAGCCCCTCTCCACCCCTCTAGAAAAATCTCTTATTAATAAAAGATGCTAATTGAAGCCTCTAAGGTCATCCACATCAGCAAAAAAAACACTACCTATGAGCAGCCACATCAGCACATCAATTTGTTTTGTTTTGTGAGTTTACCTTATGCCACGTGGTTTATGAGATGATGATTGTCATTCGACATTTTCATTGTAAGGACGCTTCATCTTCCTTCAATTCTTTGTATCGTTTAATCTCTTCATTTACTACCCTCTAAACTAAGTCTCACAAGCGGCACTTCCTCTCCCCTACGATATAAAATTTCAATCTGATCAATCGATTGTCTTCATCTTCCTCCCCTGCAATCTGGCTCTCTCTTTCATGGTAACCTCTCTCTTAAAAGTTCAATCGATTAACGCATGGTTTTTCTCCTTTTTTTTTAACAGTTATGGAGAGCAGTGGCAATTATATTTGTGTATTTGTCTTTTGCTCGCTTATAGACAGAATTTCTTCAAACAAAAACAATATGCAAACTCTGAAGTGGTTCGAAACCCTAATTTTGGAGATCATGCGGATTCATGGAACCATATTTTGCTAAGGTAAATAATATTTCTTCATTCCTATTACGTTTTTGTTCCATTTAAATAATTACGGTATTGCATCAAAGCGTTTTCTCCTCCTCCTCCTCTAGCTTTAAGCGTATTTCACCACCAATTTTCAGCGGATATGTAGGTGATATATATATCAACAAGAAAGTGTCTTTCAGTTCTGAACTTTCACAACAATACATCTAATTTTTCATCAATTGTTGTTCTTAGGATATCAAAAAAGAGGATAGAACTTTACAATCGTTCAAAGGAGCTTATAGCTAGATTTCGATCGATCACAGCTCTCATGGTAAGTAAAGTCGTGCTTTTGAGGTAGTTGTGATCAATGAGTATGGGAGACATAGATTTAAGATTAATAGAATCTATATATGGTGCAAATTTGTTCATCAATAGTTTCTGTATTTTTTAATCATTTATACTTTATATAGCCTCCAATTTGGATTACAGTTTAGGAGCCTCTACACACTAATTATAAATACGGCACATGAGCAGTTTTTGATAAAGACAAGGGAGTAAGAGAACAAAGATCAAATCTCTTTTGGTAAAATTTAAACAAAAAGACATATTTTGTAGTTTAATTTATTGATATAGATGTTGTTCAAACATGATGTCATAGGTACGTAGTGGACTGTACATAGTAATCAATAAAGCTCTCCAAATCTAATACTTGCTTCGACCATTTGCATAGGACAGCAAAGGTCCAATCCTCCTTCTGTACTGAGACGACGCCGAGAATCCATCCAAGTGAGGTTCGTCACAAATTTTAACTCTTGATTTAGTATGGATTTTTGTTTGTATATTTCTTACTTCATAAAGTAGAACTCTAGAGTTTGATAGTTTCGTGAGAAGCCAAGCAAGCAAGTAAATGCTTTGCAAATCTAAATAAGAGGGCAGTTTAGTAAAATGATTTTGATTTTTAATGGTACATAGCATGTTACAGATCAAATGTTGCTTTTCATGGTTGCAAACGAGACACGGAGACAGTGAATTTGTTTCAACTCTACTTGGCGAGCCATTTATGTGTTGGTTTTTTTTTGGAAATGCAGTTTTATATAAAAAGCAACTGAAGATATGTATCGTTTTGCCAAGGACAAAAACCTGGTGGCCTGGTGGGTATGTTATGTAATGTCAAAGTTGTTTGGTAAGGCTTTGAAAGACTCAGCTTTTAAGGCCAGAGGTGGTGGGTATACATATATTTTTCACAAACAAAACCTATTACAACAATGACCTTTTCTAGGTAATATCATATGTGCTTCAAAAGTTTCTCGAAGCTAGAGATTAAGTTAATTTGTTGGATAAAACAAAAACTTTGCTCTTTGTTACGTTATACTAAAAGCATCTCCAATAGTAGACATCCATAGAGTGTCTCACCAATATAATATTAATATTTTTATGCTTAATTTATTTAGAGAAACTCACACTAAAATTCTACTTCCATTGGTGAGATATCTCTATGAATGTCTCATCAATATAATATTTATATTTTTATATTAAATTTAATTTTTCAATAATTTTTTTAAACATATCAAATTATATCTTAAATATAATCATTCAACAAAATAATTATATTTTTATAGAAGTAAATAATATAATGATTATTAATAATTTAAAAAACATTAATTAATAGTACTATTAATTATAAATAATATATTAAAGAGACTATTATTTTTAAAACCACAATTAAACATAAATTGAATTTAAACAACATATAAAACCATAATAAAGATATATAAATTAAACACAAAATTACATATAAAACCATGATAGCATAAATTAAAATGCAAATAAAATATACAAAACTACAATAGATAATATATGTTTGACTCTTCACTTGATGATGCGCTAAACTTTTGCCATATAGATTTTAATTATATTGGACATCTTGTAAATAATGACAAAAGATAACACATTATTTATCAAAATATCAAAATGTTGACAAAATATCAGATTATTCATCTCAGATTTATTTTCTAATATTATAGTATTTTATTAACTAAAAATATTAATTTAAACTTAACTAATATCAATTAAAAATTATATTAATAAATAGTTTAAATTTTTGTATAATGGAACTTGATATATAGATAATTTTATTTTATGAACTGTAGAAAAATAAAAAAATAAAAAATAGTAACATATAAACTATTTAATTGATATTATAAATCTTAGAGTAATTGAATTTAAAAAAAAAATTGTTAAACCAATATAAGAATGACATGTGTATGAGAGAGAGAGTGTCTCAAAGTATCTCAAATGAGAAACTTGTCTCAAAGTGTCTCAGCTTTTTTGATTAAAAAATTATTTTTTATTTATTTTTGATTTATTTTTATTATGGATGTCTTATCGAGACACCATTGATGGAAGTGCTCTAAGGTGGTTGTACAAAGTAGAAACCTATTTATACTATCATCAAAAAAATAAAATATGGCTTGACTATCGCAATTAACTGAGTACTCACCATTTATTTGTTGCATGATTGGTACCTTTAAAAGATGTGGTAAAACTTATGACCAAGTGATAGCCTTTTAACTTTAGATCTATAATAATTTCTATATAGGCTCCAAAAGAGATCAATAAGAAAGGGTATTTAAGAGAAATCAAATACGTAAAAAACAAAAATTTATAACTAGCTCTAAAATCCGCTTCTATATATATAAGCTTTTGTTAAAATGTTAAATACAACATTTTTATAAATTATAAAATTTTCTTTTCATATTTCCTAAAGAAACTACAAAGAATTAAAACTAAGTTAACTAAATTAAAATATCAATCTTCAAATGTCTTACCCGGACGTAGCCCGGATTTTTCCCTAGTAAATAATAAAGAGAGTAAAATATAGGATAACCCATTACGTCCTGTGATACTGCTCCAAGACCAGCATCGAGATTTATCGGAAAAAGCAATTCCTAGTTGCCTTGCAGAGACCACGAAACCTCCTTGATGACTCGCTTCTGTTTCTGGCTTCATTGCAAGGACCATGGAACCTCCTTGACTATTCGCTTCTCTTTTTGGTTTCATTGCTGGGACGATGGAACCTCCTGGAAGATTCGCTTCTGTTTCTTGGTTTCCTTTGACGGCCATATGCTCCACCAATCTCTGAATCTTGATGACCATTGAGGTTATGAAGTCTTTATCGGTCCTGTCACTGTCATACCATACAAGAGAAAGATATCAACTAGAATAAATATCAGGTTCTAGATAATATCTTTAGAGATACTTTAGCTAGATGTATATATATAGTTGGCAAAAAGAAAAGAAAAAACCTTTGGGCTGCTAAAGGCATGCCTATTGATTCAGGAATAGACAATAAAGCGTCCTCCCATTTCTGAGTTCTTTCTGGCTGGTGTCTAAGATTGCGTATTTGATCCCTGAAATGATCGCCAAACTTTCCTTTCAGATATTTCACGACGGAAGGTTTAACTTTGTAGAAGATGGGAATCACTTTGAGACGGCCTTGATCCTTGCATTCCTTGATCTTTGCCAGCTCCTCCAAGCACCAATACGAACTTGTGAAATCCTCCGAAAAGATCACTAGCGCGATCTCCGACTCTTCTATCCTCTTCAATAAGTTAACCAAATCTGAGCCCAAATACTCGTCCTCATCTATGAAGACGTTTATATTCGCTTTTCTCAAGGCAGGGTCAAGAAAGCTTATGAAGTGTTTACGGACACCTGCCCCCCGGAAGCATATGAACACTTGAGGTCCCGTTGGGGTTGGTTTCACAGCCAAAGAAGAAGTAGCCATGAAAGATCTTCTTTGAGGAAAACGCAGAAAGAGAGTTTTTGTTGATAGTTGTTTGACCTTCTATGTTTTGTCGAGATGCTTTGAACAATAAACTAATCCTCTTAGAATATGGGCTTCCAACTCAAAATCAATTGGCAATGAGTAGAGTGGCTCATATCCCTTATATATTATTTATGATCCCTTCCAACTTCCAATGTGGGACATTATGTAAGAATATGGGCTTCCAACTCAAAACCAATTGGTAATGAGTGGAGTGGCCCATATCCCTTATATATTACTTAGGATCCCTTCCAACTTCCGATGTGGGACATTATGTCCTAATACGCCCCCTCGAGATGATGGCTCTTTGGCCATTAATCTCGGAATGTTCGGGCTTAGATCGACGGCATCAATTTTGGGCCTTGTCGATGATTGGACCATCTTTGGGTCGGATCGGGTTGGACATGTGTGGATCGGGCTCTGATACCATATTAGAATATGGGCTTCCAACTCAAAACCAATTGGCAATGTGTGGAGTGGCTCATATCCCTTATATATTACTTAGGATCCCTTCCAACTTCCGATGTGGGACATTATGTCCTAATAAATCCAACGTCCTTATAAACTAGAATGCTTGAAATATCTTATATAATATGACAAGTTTCTTCAAAACAATCAACTCAAAATGTGACATTTGGCGTTCTACTCTTT